CATTGCCGGTGGAGAGATGCCAATTATTTCCTATACTCTGCATGTAGGGCCATTGAGCAGGGAAGGATCTATTTTCGTGCCAGCACCTACTGCGACACGATACCTCGGTTTATACGGTCGCATCCGAAGGACCGGTCTCCACGTCCCACAGTGAGAATCGAACCCGCGACGTAATCAATTCACATATCAGTTATCCTTGAAGAAAACGACAATCAGCTACCCTCAACTCCCGGCCTTTATATTTTAAGTGCCCCTTACATCATACGTATGACCATTACAAATGTTTTCTTATCTATTATCAATGCTTAAATGTCCCAGTAAACAGTCAACTGTAAAAATCAGTGCTTCTCGCAAAAGTTCAATTAGAAAATGCAAATGAATGCTGAACAATCTTGATTTTTGCATGTTTGTTAATTTATTGTGACAGTTTTCTTTTAATTCTTAAAATTTGGATTATTTGGAAACAAACTTACGTCAACGAAGGTTATCAAATTGAGCAAAGTTTATCTTTTATGCATTTTTCCCAAAATGTTTGGTAAATTGTTTGATAATGTGTTCCGGTTTGTGTTTCACATTCAGGAAGTGAAAAATTTAAACAAACATGAGTGTAACACCGTAAAAAGTACAGCTTTGGTACACACTCAGAAAACACAACTGCACACGAGTTAACGCAACAGTCAACTGATTTATCTTTAAAACTCTAACGTCACAAAACGAAATAAAACTAATTTTTATGAATAGAAATTTTAAGGTTTACAAAACGCAAAGCATGAAGCAGTTTCTACCTGGTCTTGGAGGACAATGATAACCATTACACGGAGATTCCTCGTGACCATAATATGGACATACGGGTACTTCTTTGAATCCTATGCGACATCCTCTGTATCTGACATAGACGCCGGGACCACAGGCAGAAGAACAGCCACTCCAAGGCGACCAAGCATGCATTTGGTACCAAGGATCTATAGAAAAATTATAGACAAAGACTTGGACACATAAAGAAAAAAAAGAACAAATTTATAAACCAAAAAGAAACAAACATCAATAATCAGTTGAAAATCTGACATTGTCATTTTTTTTTTTATATTTTATAATAAAGAATTTGTTATAATTGGCTTAAATCTTAATTTATTAGACCTTCAAAAACAAAATTAAAAACTTCTTACGAAACCGCTTTTGAAATTCATCGCCAGCTTTTGCTGTAAAGTAATTTTAAAGATAATATATATAATTAACGACATGATAATCAACAAAGGAAAACAATCCTGAAATCTTTCGCATTTTTATCCTTCTTATGTTTAAAGCTATATATATATCTTCATAAATACATTTAAAAGCGAAAATATGTCCGTTCAAATATGACTTTTCTAAAACATATAGTTTAAAAACATTGATAAGTTATAGCTTTTTAAAAATAAATTAAATAATTTTATAGTCTTTCATTCCTTTAAATGATTAAAATGCTTAAGATTTGCTTTTCTCACTTTCTAAAGACCACCAGATTCTAAATTGAGAGGAATTTCCAAAAATCAATAAAACGTTCATCTTACCAAAAATTTGAAGAAAGAGAACATATATCAAAACCGAGAAGGCCGACATGGCAGTTAACGTGCCTTATCTGCAAAACAGATACGTTCTTTCATTATATTATATTGGATAGAGTCATTATTTCAGTCATCTTTGTTTTTATTGGTTACTTGGTGTCGATATTCCATAAGGCTGACTAGGAATGAATTCTATGTTTTACATAATCTACAAAATTGAAAACTTACGATGGCGGGAGAGAAAAAAATATCCAAACCAAAATTTGAAACACCCGAGTATTAAATATTTTTATATAAATCAAAATACCGTTCATGTTTCTACATAATGTACGTTCATTATTTGTTTAACGACCATTTTCAGTAAATCTGTCCGTATAAATGATAGACTGATCTTAATACCTCAAACACAAGTTACTCCTGTCCTTTCCTTTGAAATGCATCTTTCCAGTAGATAAAAGTAAACAAGTTCGACAAAGTTAAAATACCAAAATACATATATATTTTGGTTTATTTTCTGTCAGTGTCCTTGAATTTGCACAAATGACCTTGGGTCAAAGTCATGACACATCGTCATAAGCAATCTTTGTGTAAAACAAGAACCCTCCAAGTTTATCCATAAGAAAGATGTGGACCAGGCACACATTATGAACTTTTTTCTTTCAGTGACATTAAACTTTGTATAAAACAAGAACCCTCCAAGTTAATTCATAAGAAAGATATGGATCGGACATGAATTATAAACTTTTTCTTTCAGTGACCTTGAATTTAAATGACCTTGGCTCAAGATCATAAAACACCCCCAGGTCATAAGCAATCTTTGTGTGAAGTAGTAGATTCAAGTTTTTTTTCATAAGAAAAATCTTGCACAAATGACCTTGGGTCAAGGTCATAACGCACCCTTAGGTCATGAGGGCAATCTTTGCGTGAAAGTTTATCATTGAGGAAGATGGACCGGACACGACAGATTTCCTTCAGTGACCTTGAACTTCCTCAAATGACCTTGGGTCAAGGTTATGACAAACCGTTAGTTCATGAGCAATCTTTGTGTGAAGCAGTAGATTCTAATCTTCCACGTGCACCGTAAGAAAGATATGGACCGGACACGTTTGCACAGACAGAAAGACAGACGGACAAGGTGATTCCTATATACGCCCCGAAACTTCGTTTGCAGGGGGTATGATGAAAGAAAAATTTACCACATAAATTGCGGCCATGAATGAGGCACCGGTTTGTTATGTATGTGCAATGTACATACAACTCAACGCATTTTTTTAAACTCGCATAGTTTTTCGCACAAATTAATGTCTTTTTCTGAATGTTATTACCCAAGTGTGAAGAGTTACCGTTCTTTGTACAAAGATGCAAAAATATGATACAAAAAAAAAAATTAAAATATGGCATTTCTCTACAACTTTTAAAAAGTTTTATTTTACAACTAAATACATTGACCAAAATTTTAACTTTTTAAAGATATAAATCTGCAATTTTAAATATTCTGAATTTCTTTTTTTCCAAAGAATATTATTTAAAACTTATATTTATTCCTTTAACAAAACATTTCATATACATATACTTCTCATCACGTCTCATAATTGTAGTAAAACTTGTAAGTTACTCGAGTGAGATGTAGCAGTTGCATCCATAGCAGAAGCAATTGCGTCTATAGTCCTATGAACGCAATTGCTGACTGCATGTTTATAGTGGGAAAGCAGTGAGTATGCAAATATATAAATTTGACTGATGCTGATGATTGAATATTGATCTGATTTGATATATGAATTTGATTGATGTTGATGATTGAAGATTGATTTGATTTTATATAGCAGGGGGCAAAATTGGCCACCTTCACTTGGTATTGATGGCGGATGTTCCATGAGATGAGATCTCATGGAACATTTGGCAGAATTTTGCATAGAATTCCATCTCCGGGGGCACTGTTTTTTTCCAGGTCCCTCGGGCCAAGATGGTAGTTCTACTGCTTGTGTATATGTTTGTGTGTATGCTGCCATATCTTTGTATGATCGGCGCATAATTTGTTATTGATATTAGTTGAATTATTTGCAATAAACGGCCACGACAAGCTCGCCAAACAATAAGTATAGTTTCTATAAATATCTAAAGGAATTACAGGTATGACCTTCCATGCTTCATGCACTATCTACGCATAGATTTACATGCATATTATAGGTACATTTCTATTTAGGTTGAATATTCACAGTCTCGAAATAATCGAATTTAAACAAAATAACAATTTTCAATATTTGAAAGGAATTCAAAATGGAGCAATAAATTGGACGGTTGAAGTTGTTTTTCGAATTACTACAGTAATAATAACTATTTTAATTATTAAATAGTTGATGTTTTATCCGAACCTAAATGAGAAAAAAACTATTCCACGGTTTCTAAGTTTATTTTTAACTTTCAGCTTGAAAATATAATTGTATACTTCACCTAGAATATTTCGCCTTCGACAGATGTTCACTTTTAACAATGAAAGAAGCATTTGTTTTTACTTCTACTCAAAAAACGATTAATTATTCGAATTATTACAAGGCAGAAAAACGAAATCATACAAAATATTTTAGAACTTTCGACTAAAGAGGTTCTTGTGTGACGAAGCCTTTGAAAGTGTTTTGAGAAGTGCACTTCATTATTTAGAAATGTCGTTCAAAGTACGTTCAGTCTTCACGAGGTCTGGAATTGTCGGTGATTTGTTAAATTGTATTTTATGCAATAAAGAAATCAAAAACAGTACTGTACAAGGATATTAAAATTCATCAACATGGAACGATATATTTTCAGTATTTTCATGCTGTATTTAAAGATCGCTAGAGGTAAGTGTTTCAAGTCAATACCATTCTACCTGTTTCTTTCAGCCTTTTCATTTAAAAAAAATCTAGTGAAACTTTTTTATTTGAACAATGTAATTTATTTTTTGCTTCTTTAATTCCTTTTATATTATTTCATTATGTAAATGTATTCCATTCATGTTTAGAGACAATACGTCCAACCGAATTAAACAAAAGCTGTAGTTAGTTCATGTGTAAAGATCATGTTATACCTCTTACATCTTTAATTCCTTTTACTTTGACGAAGAAACGTAAGTTTCAAGTTTCTGTTTCCGGACATGAAGAGCCTCAATCGAGAAACAAAATATATTAAAACTACAAGTAATTAGAAAAAAACTGGCGAAGATAGACTCAAGCAATTATTTCGAAATACCTAATTTCATTAAATATTGTAAGATTTTATGTCTTTAAAAAAGAAAAACCCTAGAAAAGAAGGTCTTTGTCTCTCTTTCTCTCACTTAGGTGATCTATTGCTTTCTGTTTTCGTGTGTCATCGTGCTATGTGTGTTAACATTTAATAATTTTCGGCTTCTTCTCTGGACACATAATTTTCGGCTTCTTTTCTGGACGCACTGGTTCATTTTTAAAACAAATGTGGCATTAAGCGTCTATGGGCGGAAAGGAACAAAATGTCTCCAGCCCCCCGAGGGGTGGGATTAAAACCACAAAAATTACCTTTATCCTAAAAATCTTTCCTCTTTACTCCTGGACATCAAGCAGTCATACTGTTGGAATAATTATAATAAGCACAGAGTTCTGTATCAAAATTGTGGAATGCATGGCCCTAAGATTAGGGCTTCTGTTGTTAGGACAGGGCTATGTTGATTATATAGTGAAAATGCATGAATTCTTTGAAAATCTTTTATTATGCTCCTGGTTAATAAGCAAACTTTATGTATAGTTATGAAGAGGTAGGGTAATAAGCATAGAGTTCTGTATCAAAATTGTGGAATGCATGGTCCTAAGATTTGGGCTTCTGATGTAAGGATAGGGCTGTGTTGATTATGTATTGAAAATGCATGAATTCTTTTAAAATCTTTTATTATGCTCCTAGTTAATAAACAAACTTCATGTATAGTTATGAAGAGGAAGGGTACCTCTTCCATAATTGTACATTTCAAGGGTCAGGGGTTCTGGTATAAGGATGGAACTGTTTTGATTATATAGTAAAATGCATTACCGGTAATTCTTTGAAAATCTTCTCTGTTCCTGGTTGTGAAGGATAAATGGTTTTCATATAGCCCTTTAAGTTGCTCCCTGCGAAATTTAACATCCAATTAAAGATACAATGCAATCCATTCAGACAAAAATCCATTTTTTAAATTTTTTTATAGATTAAGACTAAATTCAATCTTTTCATACAAAGTGTCGAGGTTTTCTTTTCTATGTTTAAACTTTAGCCTGGGGGTAATCTCAGAACTAGCAGTATTTTTATAGAATTATATCGCCAGTTGAAAGAATGGGGTGACACTTATGATCTGTCCTGTCCTAAATTGGAGCTTTGTCTCGTTTTGGACGTTAGGTTTTAAGAGCCATTCTCTGTAATGATTTGAAATTTTATATAGGAGCTGTGGCACGCATAGTCTTAGAATTTCTCCAAACTCTCTATGATAAAAGTCATTGATACCCTAAACTGAAATCAGGCAAAAATTGGTTGCTATGTTTTATAGTTACCATGGCAACATGTCTTAAAGTTCGAAAAATTGCATTTTTTAACATGTTTAGGGCCCCATAGTTAACATTTGCGGCAAAGCAAACAATTGGCAATGACTGTTTCTAAAAGTTGAAGGTCAGATGTCTCAAATGCATGATAAACATGTTTGGTAAATCAACTATTACATACATTACTATGGTAACAAATTATTCAAAAGTAAAAAAAAATATTCATTGAATTTTATAAAGTCATACACGTAAAAATTAAAAGCAATTATAGATGAAATGTGACCAAATAATAGAAAAAAGAGCCTTGAAACATATAACAAGAACAAAATATGATATTTCATTTTGGTTGGCAATGGTTGCCAAGGTTTTTATACCACAGAGAGCCTTCAAAGTAACACTCTGTATGTTTAAATCTGATCCTATCTTTTAAAAAAGCACATTTCCTCATAACTAATGATCAATTTTTAAAGATGTTGGTGTGCTCCTAGTATTTCCATTTGAAAAAAATCAGATTAGATTCTTTAAAAAGAGCGTTGCTATGGAAATAAGCAGAAAATATATGCTTAAAAACCTGAAAAATATTTTTTTTCCTTGGATACGTACCCTGAAATGTAGATTCCCAAAACTTTTATGATTGATATTTATTAACAGCTAACCTGACTTTTAATTTTGACTATCATCCAATCTCTAAGTGGATGCAAGAAGTTGGCACACAGGGTTTAATATTGATATAAAGTTCACAAAATCGAACATTTTCCCTTCTTGGTAACCATAGCAACAGTGTTTTTTTCTTTATCAAATTTTATCAATATATGATATTCAACTTTAGTTCTAACATATAAGTACCATTCAAGCTGAGTCCTTTAATTTGTTTCTTGATTAAATGGCAATTTACTTCTTAATGCAGCGAAAAATAAATCTCTTTTAAGCACTGGTTTCCATATTAACACTGCAAAGTAGCAATTATACCCAATTTTTCTTATGGTTTTGGTGTTGCAAGGTCCTAAGAATGCATATTTGCCAGTCTTAAATTTTCATGTCTTTCCTCAAGACAGTAGCATTAACCGAATCTTAGTTACTTGTTTTGCATGGTTACACTGCGTTACCATGGCAACCATAAAAGTTATTTATAGAATAATATTGCTTATACTTATATACCTATGGTCAAACATTTTCATTGTTTTTATTAAGTCGTTGATTGAGTTTTAGCATGTAACACCTATCATTAGTGAATACGGAGTGTTTTTCAGCATATTTCAGCTTTTAAATGTATTCCAAATGTACCCTTGGTTATTACCACTTACTTAGAGATATATTCTAAACAGTTTCTTTACAGTATAAGTGACATCAAGGTGTCACGTTTATGTGAGAATGGTTTGTTTGCTTTTTCTAGTTTTTACTAAGCCACAGTCAAGATTTAAAGTGGCTGAAAATCTCTATTTTTCAAACTTTTCCGGCTGTTGCCATAGCAACCGAGACACATAGCAACGAAATTTTGTTTGATGATTGTTTCTAGTGTCAAATACTAAGCATGGGCGAAGATTCATCAAAATCGGTGACCATGCGTGGCAACGAAGTTTAAGTGGTTACAGAGAATGGCTATTAAATGTTGACTTGTCTATAAAGAACATTTTATCATTTCCAAACTAATTGAATTACGATTCGATGTCAACAACTTGAAACACACTAGTATGTCAGTTCTTCAAAGACTAGGAAAATTTACAGTTACTGCATTAGTTCGGAATTTCTATTTAAATGAACTTGGAATCCTCCTGTAGATGTTAGGAAATTTCTTTTTTAAAAAAATCAAGACAACTCTCAGACTTTGATTTTCTATACAAAAATCTTAAGGGAAACTTGAGCTTAGGTAGAAAGCCAATAGATAACAGTATTTTGAGATATATTTCGGAAAATGTAGATTGATTGATTGATTGTATACTGTTTAACGTCCCTCTCCAGAATATTTAACTGATATGGAGACGTCAGCATTACCGGTGAAGGGCTGCAAATTTAGGCCTATGCTCGGCACTCGGGGCCTTTGAGCAGGGAGGGATCTTTATCGTGCCACACCTGCTGTGACACGGGGCCTCGGTTTATACGGTCTCATCCGAAGGACCGCCCCATTTAGTCGCCTTTTACGACAAGCAAGGGGGTACTGAGGACCTATTCTAACCCGGATCCCCACTGGGGAAAATGTAGAACATTTTAAAATAATTGATAAATTTTAGTTGTAACACGTCAATTGATTGGGTAAAGATAAACCCATTTTTTATAACATAACTTGCCCACGTCACAATGAGTGACGTCAAAAACATATTACTCCGCTTGATGTTAAAATTTAAAATATGCTAAATTTGAAGCACTTTTCCGGAGGAAAAATTGTCTCATTGTCTACACTGAAATTCAATTTAAAGGAATATAGCTTATTTCAACTTTTGCTATACGACATTTGGGGGTTTATTAAAAAAAAAGTAAAATGCCTCAAGTTATGTTATATCGTATAACAAAAGTTGGAATAAGCATTATTCCTTAATGACAATGAAGTCTTTGAGAACGATTCATAAAAATTATTGCAGTAGTCTGTCATTCAGGAAAAGGAGATTAAAAGACAATCTTATATTTAAGAGCCTGTCTACGAGAAAACCATGCAGATATATAGAAAAATGCTCTGGTAGGCAGTCTCAAGAACAAAATAATTTTTATTATTTACTTAAAGGACACCCATTGAAAGTCAGAAATATGTTGTTTATTTTTGCTTGGGTTGTTTCTATTTTTAGTAACAGCCAATAAATCATTTTGGTCAATATTCAAGGGAAAATGCAAAAAAGTTGGTGTAAAAATGACAATTTCAATATTTAAAAGTAAAAAAGAAAAAAACAATATAAAAATAAAAGGCCGATGTTTTCTCATAGAGCTAAGTCGTAAAATTAAGTTGGAATCAATTTTTTATCCAAACAATATGTAAAATCCACCTTTGGACTCTCAAGGACGGGAAAGTAATATCGTAATGAAATTACCTCAAATTCAAATGATGGAAAAATTCATGATTTTATAAATTTAAATTTTAACGGTAATTTTAATGAATTTTGTGTAAAATATTCACAAATATAAACAAATAAAATTATTTTCAAATTTATAAAAGCTATAAATATTTTTTCCCTGCTTTTCCTGTGAAAAAAAAACCGTATTTTACTATTTATTTAGATTTTGTTAGAATTATCTCCCCTGTTGCGCTCTTCTGTAGAGAAGGTAGATAATGATTATGTTTACGAAGTCATCTACTAATCGTTTTAGGCATAAATCATATGTGCTTTGAAGAAAATTGTCCTTTCCTGTGAATGTAATTTGTTACGTAATATACTAGTGGCCTATGTATAAAATACATTAAAAAAATTATGAAATCTTATATTTAAGAGCCTGTCTACGAGAAAACCATGCAGATATATAGAAAAATGCTCTGGTAGGCAGTCTCAAGAAAAAAAATAATTTTGTTGTTTATTTTTGCTTGGGTTGTTTCTATTTTTAGTAACAGCCAATAATTCATTTTGGTCAATATTCAAGGGAAAATGCAAAAAAGTTGGTGTAAAAATGACAATTTCAATATTTAAAAGTAAAAAAGAAAAAAACAATATAAAAATAAAAGGCCGATGTTTTCTCATAGAGCTAAGTCGTAAAATTAAGTTGGAATCAATTTTTTTGTAAAAACCCCTATACAGAAGGCTGTCCCGAGGGCACAAATATTGGCATGGTGCCAAGAAATGATAATGGTTCATTTTTTGTCAAATTTAGGGATATATTTCTTAGAAAGTGACGCTTCTTTTTTCAGAATTTTATGCATTTAAGAATCTCTAGGATATTATCCAAACAATATGTAAAATCCACCTTTGGACTCTCAAGGACGGGAAAGTAATATCGTAATGAAATTACCTCAAATTCAAATGATGGAAAAATTCATGATTTTATAAATTTAAATTTTAACGGTAATTTTAATGAATTTTGTGTAAAATATTCACAAATATAAACAAATAAAATTATTTTCAAATTTATAAAAGCTATAAATATTTTTTTCCTGCTTTTCCTGTGAAAAAAAAACGTATTTAACTATTTATTTAGAGTTAGAATTATCTCCCCTGTTGCGCTCTTCTGTAGAGAAGGTAGATAATGATTATGTTTACGAAGTCATCTACTAATCGTTTTAGGCATAAATCATATGTGCTTTGAAGAAAATTGTCCTTTCCTGTGAATGTAATTTGTTACGTAATATACTAGTGGCCTATGTATAAAATACATTTAAAAAATTATGAAATCCATCGGGATCGATATACGGTTCCGTAATCACATGTAAACATTATGGCATCTTGCGACGTTTTGTTGTTGTACGTCCTCAAAAAAAGATTCAGGTGCGTGAATTGTCAACGAGTCTTCAGATTCTGGCTCTGATTTTGATGAATATGATTCTGACAGTGAACATTCATTTGGTAGCGAGACGGATGTAGTGATGATGGTCCCGTGATGATGATACCGAATCAACAATTTTTGAATTTGAAAAAGAAACAGGTAGTTGGATCTTGGTTTATAATACTATGTACCTTATAAAAAGGCTTATTGATATGTAAAACATAAATAAATAAACAATTTTGATGGGGACTTGATTATGTACAAGAGAAGATTTTTTTAGAAGACAATATCAGGTCTGGTACAATATAGCTATGTAGCTTGATTTACTTACTTAGTTAGCTTTATTAACCTACCTTAAGTAGCTTTATTGAGCTCTGTACCAAAGTAATTTATTTCTATAAAAAAATTCTACCTACGTAGCTAAATCTAGTGATTGTACTGGACCTGAATATATACCTAGCAAACCTGTCAAGGGAAATTTCAAGGTTGGTACATATACATATAGCAACAAAAATATCTGCATAAATTCAACAATATTGCAAAATATTCAGATCTGCAGAATTATAAATAGCATGAGGAGCCTTTGTGGGGTGATGAAGAGGGAATGAAAAGTTGAATAGGTCCAGGGTTTTCAAAGACTGTTTACTAATAGGGTACGTTAAGCATTGGATAGATGGGTCTTCACTGTCAATTAAATCACCATTATTGCCTCAGATGTGGGATACATGATTATAAAGAATCTCATTTAACCAAAATATTTTTTTCACATATTTATGAGATGTTATGAAGATGGCTACATTTATGATTTTCGGCTTTATGGAATAGTAGAATTTTCTTATGAGAGATCACAATTATTAGAAAAAAAAGTTGTCAAATACTTGTGCAGACTGCAGACTTTTCAAATTAAAGGTCACCAAGTATTCCTTGACAGGTTTGTGTTTAAAACAACTAATATTATAAATATAAGTCTGGGAAATTATACTTTGTAAAGAATATTTCATTTCATTCTTATATTTCTCGTGCAATTTCAGATTATTCAAATTCATTTCCCTGGTTAGGGCTGGGCTTTACAATGGGATTTCAGCTGTGGAGCTATAAAGAATTACTACATATGGTTTCCAATGTAGTTTTGTAATGAGAAGAGGAGAGACAATGCAGCAAAACCATTACCAATTACTTCCCACTGCTGAGAAAATGGTAAAGATATGTTATATCTTATCTTATTTTAAAAATCTTAGAATATGTCTAGTATGGTTTATTTCAATTTTATTTTAGAACTGTCCTTTTTCACAGGTACATGCTTTGTGTACTGCTTTTGTGTATTTAGAGACAGTCCAGTTCTTCTTTAAACCAAGTGTGGAAATTTCAGTGCTTGTTCAATTTCTCCAGAAGTTATTGGATGCTACATAGGAAGAAAATGGGGTCTTACTGAACAGAATGGTTTGGATACACATTATAGATTTTGAAAGCTTGAGACCTCAAGATCAACCCAAATGGTGTACCAAACATGAAGAAAAAAAGACAGTTTATGATTGAAGAAGCTTGTGTAGTTGCCAAAATTTCAGGGTATTTCATATATGTTAACGTATACGATTTTATTGGTACATGTACTTAAACATTGTTAATATCTTGATATTTAATATGTATCAGGTCTTACTTGCAGGAATACACAAAAATTCAGAGTAAATTTTAAGTGTTTGTTATGATAGAATGATCAAAGTTCAAGGTCAACAGTGCTTTAGTTTTACCAAATATAACACTATTATAAAGACTAATTTCCTGTGATTTTTTCTTTTAAATCCTATCTTAATTTAGAACCATGATGTATAATTAGGCCAGTAAATTTTTTTAAAGCATACAAAATTTCTAGGTCATTTTAATTTTAGAAGTGAATATAAAATATCAGGAAGCAGTCAAGCATTGTAATTTTTTGTTGTTGAATGTACTTAGTTATTGAGTAATATTCAAATTTTAATCTGCAATGAAATTAAAAATTATAAATGTTATAATTTGTTAATTTTTAAAACTTGGTGTTCGAATTCATTCATTTTGAGTTTGTTGCCATGACAATATGTCTGTCAAGAAAATGGCTATGATATTCCTTTTTGTTCAGTTTGACCCTTGACCTTTGACATTGTGACCTCAAAATCTAAAGGGGTCCACTTCTTTTCAAGAAACCAGTGTACTAAATTTGATGTCATGTCTGTCAAGCAATGGGTCCGCAAGATTTTGAATGATTAAAATCTACATACTGGTATGTCGAGAATTATAACCCTTGACCTTTGACCTTGTGAACTCCAAATTAAAAGGGGCCATCTACATATTAGTAGGTACCAGTGTACTATGTTTATTTATCTATTAAACAAATGTTTTTTTTTTTAAAGATAAGAGAGGACACACTTGGTCTACTGATTGACCAACAGGTACTAAGCAGTATGTGAATATCACCCTGCTCAAAGAATATGTAAAATAATACAATTCTGGAACCCCCCCCCCCTCGAATTAACCCCATTTAACCCCTAAGAAATAATTATTGATTGAAAACAAAAATGTACAATATACTGGTATTTTTCAACAGCAGAATTTAAATTTTTGACAATATTTAAATCAGCAAAATAACTCCTTGCTGAAGTTCAGGGATGGAAAAATTTGAAAATTCACAAAAAAATGTCCAACTTTAAGTAAAAAGTACAGCAAAATGTTTGAGAGTCCAAAGACAGATTTTTTATATAATGTAGACAGACATGTTGTCTAATAATTGGTATGAGATTGAGTTGATTCTAAGCGTCACTTTCTGAGTTATAGGTATTTGAAAAGTGAATATTTTCATCAGTTTTCAAAAATCTGGAAATATGCCAGATTTGTGACCTTTTTGCACTTAAACGGGAGCACAGTATGTGATTATGAAAAATTTTCTGAAACAAGTGTATCTTGTTACTTTCAACCATATATGGATATTTTATATCATTACCAAGTAAAATGCTGAATTTTTAAATATAAAATTCTATAAAATTCATGTTTTCACCCTGCCTAAGGACCAAGAATTCTATTTTTAGTAACAGTGTCTATTTAACCCCTAAAGTGAGACCACACTGAAAAAAAATTTGTGGCAAAATATTTCATATTATAGAAGAAATTTACACACAAAACATGAAGTTGATCAGAGAACCTTGCTCCCATAACCTTTTGCATGGTTTTCTCGTAGACATGCTCTTAACATATTTATGTAGCTTCCTTAATTACATGTTACCAAACATTTATTTTCTTCTAATTTTTTTCTAGTTCACTTACTGAACTCACAAAACGTCACGGTGAATAATGTGACTACGAAGGAGGGTGAAAGTGCCATATTTGTTTGCGGACAGACAGGAAATAATACTGACTACAAATGGTATAAAAATGAAAAAGAAATTTTAGGGGAGGATAGGCGCGTCACCATATCGCAAGAAGGGAAGTAAGTGAAAGGAATATATTATGTTGGTTTTGTAGAATGCAAATGAATTATCAACTTTCTAGATTTTGAGATCTATTTATAAAGACAAGTATAAGACAAGGGTTGAATTGGTTGAGAACAAAGGTTTGTTTTTCCTTTTCAATTTGTAGACTATCTATCGATCGCCTAAAATTGCAAGACATCGGCTGGTATGCATGTGAAAAGGAAAGCAAAATTCAAACAAAATGGTTTCTTTTGGTAAACACGGGTATGTTTTATTTATTCTAGGAATAGAATATGCTTAGAATGTGTCTATTTCGGAAATTATTCCGTAAAAAAAAGATATATGGCAAACCCTGCCGTTTGATGAACATTATCAATTTTTGAATTGAAGAAATATTACAGCAGCGATATGAAGATCACTTTTCTCTTTCATTTATAATTTTACTATAGCATTTGATTAACGTTAAAAGATAACTGATCAGTTGACTGTGCAAACCACTTAAGGAACCATTGCGTGATTTATACATTTTTGTTTCTGATAGACGACCAGTACATTTATCTCCTTGACTGAGGACGATCTTACCGTGGCGCTAAAGGAACTACCTTAAAATATTGCAACGTATTAATTACCAAGAAATAGGGGTGTTACAGTTCATTTACATATTTACACAAAATTTCACAGAAAATTTATATCCATTACTTACACATTACTTACTCACGTAATGGTCATTACATCAGTGCTCCTACTTAATGCGCCTAATTCTCATCCATCTTTATGAAATCCAAAAGCTGAACTCAACTCTCATGTAATAACTGAGGTTTCTAGAAAAAGTAATGAGGCATCGATAGGGAGCCATCTCATCGAAAAATATAAACAGACATGAGATTTGAGTGATGTCAAACTTCATTTACCCGTTTTAATTACAGTAATGAATGCCCAGAAAGCATGATTGATAGATACCAAAAGTAAATGGAATTATAGTGAGATTATTTTATGAAAAATTATCATAAAATATATTGTAAAAAAAATCATATAGGTGATTCATAAAAAGATAAAGTCATGGACATTAAAAATGAAATTTGAAATAAGTTTAAAATATTAAATACGTGTCCTATAAACAATTTTTTCAGTGTTTTTTACGGCGTTCTTGTAAATGGACCCAAACTGGACTAGTGTTGGGGGAGAAGTTTACATGGATACTTGAATTCAATACCATTTTCTTAAATTGAAAAAAAAAATCCAGTTTAAGGATATCCATTTGGAACTAATCATACATTAATTTAACTGCACTTTTCAGTTGGCTGCTACAGGAATACATTAGGACGGTTTTATACTGGCAAAGTGAACGTGACAATCTCGGGTCGAATTTGCCAGCCCTGGGGTTCACAGATTCCACATAATCATAAGTTTGGCTGGCTTTATACTGAGGAGAACTATTGTCGTAATCCGGACGACGAATCAGTGGGCCCGTGGTGCTACACTATGGACAAAGAGAAGCGGTGGGAAAGCTGTGGCATTCAATTATGCAGTAAATATTTATATATACCTATATTTTTCTGTCAACACTCTGCATGTGTTTTAAATCAAGTTTCCTTAAATTTACGAATTCATCCTCTTTAAGTCAGTCATCAAAGTTGTTAAAGTGGTCTTATGCTCTCTATTATCGTCTTTTGTTTATTTGTCGTATGTGTTTTTGTTTCACACAAACCTTGGAAAACATTTCCAAAATTGCTGAAGTAATTTCCACTGACTTATTGCATTTGAGTTTAAACAATAGAGAACGTATCTAAATCACTATATTTTGCGCTGTGTTTCCGTCTGTTGTATATTGCTATAGTCATTTCCACTAAATTTGTTTTTAATTTATATTTAAGTAAAAGAAGAACATACATGTACAGAATCCAATCATATTCTCTTTTATTAGATCTGAAAAAATGGAGTCCCAACCATCCATATTGATAAAACTATTTTTCAAAAATGCACATTGAAACAGAGCAAAGTATCCACTACCGACGTTGAATTATTAAACAAAATTTGGTTAAGAGTACTGTGTTTTTTTATTGTCAATTAAACTAGCGATGTCTTTGAAAAGTTTCAGTATAAAATAACATAGCTGCAGAACTATTGCTCTCCGAAAAAAAAATATGCATTGACAGACCGGAGAGTTACGTACAGTGCCACCCATTAAAAAAGCTATTTTTATTGCGCACAAAAAAGTGCGCTCGATTCTGAAATAATTCTTCCAAATTATTACTTGTTTGCAAAAAAGTCTTTACTCCTCTATCAATTACTATTGTAGTTTCCATCTGTACGAAGCGCGTTGAACCGAATTATCTTGCAAACTAAAATGGCAGTATAATTAGGCGAAATTTTCGATAATCTCGGTTTTAGAGCCAGGAGGGCTCTTAACGAGGCCTGATCTACTTGATCAATGAAGTTGATCTGCATGCGCATACGTTTTAACGCAGCGTCGACTCTCGCACGTCACAGTACCTTTAACTGCCGTCAGCATTGAATACAAAAACGTCACAATTAAAATGACGTCAAATTGCGCTAAAATGTTTCTCTGATTTTGGATACCTGGTAGCTCTATAGACTGTGCATGGTGAAAGCTGGTATTTCCATTATTTACATGTTTTTTAAAATATTTTTTAACAAACAACTTAACAACTAAACAACTTTCGTTCGACCATAATTTATTTTAAGGTATCAATTTCTTGGAACAGATTCATTAAATTTTATCTTGTTTTATTTCAATTTTTGATTTTAAAAAACACACACACTGCAACCAAAAGTGAATAATTTTAGTCTTTCTCCTTGAACATGTTGAAGTGTTTATACACACACCCTTTTTTATCGAGGACTTAAAATATGTATGGATAAGCTTTGGTTTTAAAAAATAAGTCTATGAATCATTTAAATGCAACCCCCGAAATATTTTATTTTTCTCTATATTACATGATATTCGTAAAATTCGTAATTTTGTCGCGTTTACATCCCCCTTTTACGTAAAATAATGTCGCGTGTTAAGAAAGATAAAGCATGGACAAAAATTATTTTATAATGTAGGAATTATTCATTTTTTAGAAACCATTGCAGTATTGCAATCGTATGTTGATGTTATGTAAACCCATTGCGACTCATA